GGAGTGAAAAAGAGAAGCAAGTAAGCTTCTGGTTTTTGCCGCGGATGCCCGGATTAGGAGAAGGGGTGAAATACTGCTTGCTCCTGGAGTGTTCTTGAACATAACCTTATCAGAACCATACTCTTTAATACAAACCAAAAAAATAACAAACCCACAACCCTAGGAAAAGCACCAAAACAAACAATAAAAGGCATCTGAGCAAGAAAAAAGGCATCCAGCATGCAAAGCAACATCTGAGCTCCTGTCCATTCCAGAGGAGCTCAGTTGTTGCTTTGCACGCTGGGTTTAGGAACGGGGTAAAAAAGAGGGGACGAGGGCACAAGTCGAGAGCTCTAGGCAAGAACTGAACAGGACAGTAAAGAGAAAGGAACAACACAATAACAGGAAAGTAAAATAAAGCGGACCTGAGCTTGCAGATGGAAGCAAAAAGAGCAAAAGCTAAAAAACTGTTTCTGTGTGAGTGGAAATTGTTCTATAAAACCTGTTGTGAGTAGGGAGCTTCTCTATGGAGTTAATGCTTAGGTAAAGCTGAGGGCGAATAATTTCCTTGTAAGTTATAAGCTAAGCAAAAGGAGGAGTGGATTGAATGCACGGATATGGAGTCAGCCTTTGTTTCTGCGAGGTTTTGGAGGCTAAAAACGAAAGTGTAAGTGCTGTACTCATTTGCAGACTGTCAAAAACAGAACACTGGAACTGTGGATAATTTTTGCATAAATCTAAACAAACCTGTTCGTCCTCAGCCTTGCCTAAGCATCAGCTTCATTAGAAGGGAAGCCCTTTGCTGGCGAGTGTTTCTGTAAAACAATTTCTATTTCATGAGCTTAGTTTTCTTTTTATTTTCCTTCCTTGCTTTTATTCATAAATCTCGATTCTTTGTTTTTGCTTTTTTTTTTCGTTTTTATTCATAAGCTTGTTTGCTTCAGTTTATTTTTCGTTATAATGCTGTGTTTTTTCTTTTCTCTTTCCTGCTATCTCCAGTTCTTGCCTCGAACTCCTTGCTTGCATTCTTGTTCCACTCGTCTGCTTTGTTCCGAAATCTTGCTTGTAGAACGACATCTGAGCTCCTCTCCATCCCCACTATAAGAACAGTGTGGAAGAAAACAGTATCATTCCCAAGCCCAGGTGTCCGCGACAAAAACCAGAAGCAATCTTTCTCCTTATTTCCACCCGTTACGCTGCGCCACCTTCCAAATGCGTATGACAAGGAATCTACATCATGTAGCCATCAGGTTCACCTGTTCCAGCCCCTCCCCTGCCTCGAACGAAACTTATAGCACAATAGCCCACTCGCCTCTCCTCCTTCTGCACCGCTTATCTACCACACCGCAGTCTCGTCACTGCCGTGGAGCACTCCACTTGTCATCGCCAGAAAAATTTTTTCGCAATTCGTGTATAATACCGGCCGGGGGGGGGGCCGAGCTTTAGTGTCGGACGAGTTTTAGTGATTGCTGGGAAAATCCCCTGCTGATGATGGGTTTTTGTTCGGCGTATGATGACTGTCCCTATTAATTTGCCAGGCCCTTCGGTCCTGAACAGCGTATTTCATTTAGCCGTTGTTGCCAGTTTACTATTCACTATAAACTCACATCTTCCAATGTCGCTTGCCCCGTTTAGTTTCTCGCTAGCCACCATTTATTGGTACGCGACACACAGTGGTTTCAGCAACGAACAGTATATTTTGTATGATAGGTTTTGAGTTCGCACATTAAGTCGCATTACTAATCCTGCATGTTATTTGAGTATCTGGCAGAAATTCTGTTTGCTCAAGTGGCCACGAGGAAACAATTTTTGCATTCGTTACAAGACAGGCACAGTATAATTGGGGCACCGAAACACACCTTTAGTTTGCGTCGTCTCATATTCTTCAACAATAATAATAACAGTAATAATAATAACGATAATCATAATAATAGTAATAATAATAATAATAACAATGACAATAGTAATGATGACAATAACAATAATAATAATAATAATAATAATAACAGTAGTAATGCAACGTCGTTCATTGTGTATTTTGCGTTTTTATGCGTTTTCTGCTGTGTAACAGCAGTACAAAACGCATATTGTCATGGGGTTGTCTGTGTGTGCTTGTGTTTGTGTGTGTATGTGTGTCCGCAGTAACTTGTCCGCAACTTCCAACTCGGAAACCACGAAAGCTAGGAAGCTGGAAATTTCGAGGA